CCCGCCGCCACATCATTCTGAGACACAGGGAGGCTGTGAACCACTGAAATTGATCACGGATGGGGAAACCCATCTGACAGTAGGGTGCAAGGGCCAGAGATGCCTTGCCAGGGAATGTTAGAATTCCTTTCTCTTGATACCTTGAAGGAGACAAATAGATTGACCTTTGTACTGTCCTAGGCTATATGGAAGGAAATTTTATGAGGAAGGCACAGGCATCAACTATGAAACTTCTAGGAGGACATTCAGAACGTGCACATGTGTTTGTCTTGCTGAGGATGTTTCCTTGAAGGCTCGGGAGGCCACCAAGCCTGAGGCCATCTGCTGACAGCATTTAGTTGCTCTTGGCCTCTGCTGTTCTGATGTGGAAATACTGTCCTCCACTCTGGTTCTGAGAAGCAAACTGAAACCTCATTAAAAAGCACCAGGGAAACTGAGAACTTGCAATTCCGTTGAACTTTTGCTACTTTTTGTTTCACAGTTCTGGCTGTGACTTCAGCCATTCCCCGTAGGAGATAGAGACAAAGAGGCAGAGAATCTCAGAGAAAGAGACTAAGAGGCAGAAACAGAAAAACACTCAGAGAAAGATAGAGACCAGAAGGCAGACACATTCTTCCTTTTGTTTATTCAAAAAATATTTGTTGAGAACCTACTATGTTCCCAACATGCGCACACACCCTAATTAAAGACATCAGAAGACCACACGCTGTTTTCATAAGCTCCCAAATCCCCACCTGGCTCTTAAAGTAGAGGGGTTGAAACTGCCAGGGGAGTGGGCGTGGTGGTGGTGGTGGTGGGATTGGTAGTAGCGGGAAACTGCCAGGGGAGGGTGGCACACCTCTTCAACAAGAGTACCTGCATAATGAACATTTGTATACCTAACCCTGAATTGGACCTCACATCTTTAAAATTAAAAACTAAAAACAAAACAAAACAAAAAAAAAAACGTAGGGGAATCAAGAGGTTGCTCTTCCTTCTAAGACCAGTAGGTGTCATTATGTCAGCGGGAAAGCTAGGGTGCCCAGGATTTGAAAGCCACCTATGAAAAGAAATTCTGTTTCATCTAGTTATCTGAGTGCCATGATGTGCAGGGCACCAGGCAGGATGCTTGAGGGTACACAGGGTGAGAAACCCACAGCCCCTGTCTTCATGAAGTTTACTGTACCATCAGAGACATGGAAGGATAAGGTCCTAAATCACAAAAAGAGGGAGAAGGCAGTAAGTGCCTCCTTTGGTTTAACCCAAGGACCACATGAATTCTCTGACCATCAGAGACCTCAGAGAAGCCGACTCCCACCTTTTCACATTAGAAGAGTAAATAGACTTGGAGAGGGAAGGTGACTGACCTGGGGTCACGCACCTATTCTGAACTCTTGATCTCCTGACTCTTAGAACAGTGCTCTTTCCACCAAACATTCTCAGTAATTGGAGCTACCTTTTTCATCTTGCCATTCAAAATTTTACCTTAGTTTAGCCATGAACCTCCCTGAAAAATGCCTTCTCTGGTGCATAGGCAAGGCAACCTAGGTCGGTTAATCTGCATCTCAGAGAAGGCAGTTACCCTGATCACGGGCCCTATGGTGCTAGAGCTGGCTTGCACAGGCTCATGAGAGCTGCTTTTGTGCATCTCACCCCAGTGAATTCATGTTGGTAGCTTGAAATTAGCAGTGGTAGGAGTATTTACACCATGGAAGTTGGCAACAGCTATAAATCACAGTTTTCCCAGAGATAATTTGTTTTTTCCCAGAGAGTCGCACACCACTGAATTAGTGTCCCTACTTTATAGACAAGAAAACTGAGGTTCAGGGAGATGAGGTAATCTGCCAAAGAGACATCACACACAAGTGGTAGAGCTGTAACTCTAACCCAGATGGCTTGATGCTAGAGTACTTAGAGATGGTAGGTGTTATAGGACTTGAAGCCACTCTGACATGGAGGGGTCTAGGTGGATCCTAGGTGTTGTAGTCCATTTTGTGCTGCTATAACAAAATAGACTGAGACTGGGTCACCTACAAAGAACAAAAACATATTTCCTTATAGTTCTGGAGCCTGGAAGCCCAAGCTTAAGGTACCAGCATCTGGTGAGGCCCCTCTTGCAGCATCATTCCATGGCAGAAGGTATCAGGTGACAGTAGGGAAAGAGGGTAAGAGAAAAAAACAAGGGGGTGAACTCATTCGTTTATAAGGAACCCTCTCCTGAGATAACAACTTAATCTATTCAAGAGATTAAGGTTGTTAATCTGGCGTAATCACCTCTTAAAGTGGGAACCTTTTAATATGGGTGCAATGGCAATGAAATTGCATTTGGGAGGAGACTATGTTCCCACCACAGCACCAGGTTTTTCATGTGTATCCTGGTGTGGATGCTGACCAGGGTTGGTGTCATTAATCTGACAGCAACACTGGAGCAGAAACCAGTTTGGGTGAAAAGATAACCAATTTAGCTTTGGACAGATGAAATTCGAGGCTTATTGCTGAGGAGACATTTAGATTTGGAGCTCGGGAGAGGGGTCTGAGCAAGAGATTGAGATCTGCAGGTTGAAGGTTTGATCTTGACTAAACCAAATGTAGATTAGCTAGAAACATTTTTCTTTGATATAATTACCAGGTAAAAAGTATAAGATTTACCACTCCATTTTTTTTCCTCTTAGTTGTCAACATTCAGATACATCGGGGGACCACGCACTGCTGTTCACATATGTTTCCTGGTCCTAGTACATAGTGAGCACTCAGGAAGTATTTACTGAATACATATGGGTAACCTGTTTGTACCCTGCACATACTGAATCAGCCACTGCTGTGGACCCATACCTGAAGACCTAAGTATAATTCTAAGATTATCTGGAATTCTGGTGTCATTATAGGATCAGGGATTTGGAATCAGAAATTACTCTTTTAACATTTTAGAGTTAGGAGTGGGACTAGGCTTCATCTCTTACTATGTCCTTGTTTTATTGGTACAAAAGCCCAGAGACTATTTTGAGACCATGCAGGCCCCTTGCCAGTGTAGGAGACCACCCATTCCTGGCAGTCAGTGGGCCTGGCCTGGCTTGCCTTTACTCTGGCCAGTTTACTTCCTTCTCAGGGACTTGGTTTGTACCTCAGGTTCAAGGAGAGCCTGAGTTCTGGTTCCAGAAGGGTGATAGGTTGGTGAGAATCCACATCTCAGGAGGGCAACTTGGGCAGGTGAGCAGACAAAGCTCTAGGTAACAACCAAGGGGGCTACAGTATGCAAATGATGGATTGTGGCTTTCCTCCTGATTGGCTGAAGGAACTCTGATGTCACAATGCTAGAGGTTCTCCCCTCCAAATGACCATCTCTACGTGTCTCTAATCAAAAATACTCACTGACCTGGGTGGTCTCCTGGTTCCTTCTCTTTGGCCACCGTGGAAGAGAGACCATGGAACCCCTCTATCAGGCCGGGTCCATTCTCATGACGGTGAATACTCTACAAGGGAAGAAGATGGTGGAGAGTGGCCTCCAGTCTGGGGACTTTTCCCTCTCCCAGTCGTGGCCCTCCTGCCTCCCACCGCCAGCTGACTTGGAGAAACTGCAGCAGAAGGTGGCCGGGGTGCAGCGGGAGCTGGAGGACTTTAAGCAGGAGGCACTGAAAGCCATTCATTACCTGGAAGACGCCTTCTGCGAGATGAATGGCGCCCTGGCGCAGCAAGAGGAGCAGGCGGCCCGCGTGAAGCAGAGGCTGAGGGAGGAGGAAGACCGCGGCATCGTGCGCAACAAGGTCCTCACCTTCCTGCTGCCGCGGGAAAAGCAGCTCCGGGAGCACTGCAAGCGCTTGGAGGACCTGCTCCTGGCAGGGGCCGCGGCGCGCTGGGCGTCCCCAAGAAGGCCGATTGAACCTCCTGGGCTGCGCCAATGAGTGCCAAATAGAAGAGTTTTCTAAATGGGAGGGCAAACCCTAAGTCCCCACCCACTTGCTCCCCTGCCCCATTTCCACTGCTTTCCTTCTGTGTAAATAACACCTTGCTGAGAGGCGAAAAGACCTCAGTACATTTTTGCGGGGGTGGGGGGGATGTTGTTCTATTTATCCAGCATCGTCAAGGAAGGAAGCACCCTAATACTAAGTCAGATGCCTGTAACTCTCTCCAACTGTTTTCCTGTTTGTAATGGCCATATTGCTCCAATGTATACATTTAAAAAATTGTACAGTATATTCTTAAACTGGTTTGTTGAACAGATTTCCCTTTCCTTTGATGATTTTAGGCTCTCATGATTTGTGACTTCACACACCCTCCACTGCTACCTTGCCACCCAGTGCGTGGCCTACTGAGAGGCGTCAGGTTGTCGGCCCACGCCTGAAAACAGCCCCAGATTGCTCTGTTTTTGTATTCTGATCCTCATTTGGTCTTCCTGTCTGCTCTTGCCGTTCGACTGTTACATCTCACTTTTCTTTGCTGCCTTTACCCATCTCCATTTCCTCTGCAGACTGGCCAAACGGAATGACAGAGCTTATTAGTGCTCTGATGGGTGGAGTTCATTGAGCTTTAGTGCCCTGATGATGCAATGTAAGATGGGACTACTGATTTCCATGTTTGACACGTGGAGCAGGAATTATTGTTCCAGGGCCCGACCCTTTGTCAGGCAACGCACACGTACCATCCCACCCACTGCCACAGGCACCTTGGAGGTGAGTGTTGATTTCCCATGGTACACAGGGGAAGGCTGACCTCAGGAAGGCAAGTCTTGTGCCCAAGGTCTCCATGCTAGTAAGCAGCAGGGCTGTGGTTCAAGTCCAGGTCACCTGTGCTCATTTACCATCCTGCTGTGCCCCTCCCTGGTTTTGGAATCACATCAGGCTATTCATGGACCTGTCCTACTAGGGGATTGAGACTGCCACACAGGGGATCTGGGGGCTCATTTGCTGTCACTGTACTTTTTATTTCTGAATAGTCTTCTGTTTCATCAATTCACACATCCTCTCTCTGGCTCCTCACGTGCTGTCATGCAGCAAGGGTTCTCCTCTTAACAGCCGAAGGAGGGAGGTTCCTGGAGACAGAGTGGGTACCTGAGCAGTTGGGTGTCTGTCTTTTCAGCTCAGGACTTGCAGCCTGTTCCATACTCTCTGGTCTTCTCTTGCAGCCTCATCCTCCCTCCTCTTTCTTTCATGGGATCTCTCCAAGTAAGATTTGAACATCTGGAACCCCCAAGTTGAACTTCACAAAAGGATTCTACAACCCGTGGTTATGGCAATGCCCAGCCACCACCATGAAGGGCTGCGCCCCTACTATAATGCTAGGCAGCTTCTTTGTTAGAGAGTTTAACTGAAGTAATAATAATGCTAACACTAGTAATATGAATATTACTACTGATACAATAGCTTTGGAGTTATCAAAAATATGATATATTCCAGGCACCATGCTTGGCCCTTTGAAGGCAGGTACTGCTATCATTTGAATGTCCTCTCCAAAGTCCTTGTTAAAGTTTAATTGCAAATGTAACGGCATTGGGAGGCGGGGCCTTTAACAGAGGATGGATTAATGTCGTTATTGCAGGAGTTATCTCTGGAGTGGGCTCCTGATAAAAGGAAGACTTTGCCACCAGCAGAGTTCCACTGACATTGACACCTGAGTCACTCGCCCACCCTAAACCAATTATGAGCAAAGAGGAAATCAGCTGCTTCAACTCAACTCCTGGGCCCGGACACTTCTACTGATATCTGAAGAAAATCAAGGTTCTGTTGGTGGTAAATAACCCCTGATGCCATAGCCTCAGTCTTATCTTTTCTGCTTCATTGATACCTAGGACTAAGAAGGATAGAGCTCTCGGAGATGGTGCTGGCTGGGCAGAGTTGTACCGTGTAGGTGGCTGTCATGTAGCTGTGGGAAACATGGATTTAGGTCTGGGAATTGGGGAGCTGGCTGGGGGTAAGTGCAGAGGGACACCTCAGTGCTATGGGGACAGATCCATGGCCTCCAATTGCTCCACCCTCATCTGCTGATACCCAGGCTTCACCTTTGAAGTCAGAGGCTTGAGATGACCCAAAGGGTGCCAGGGAGACTTTGCAACCCCTTAGTACTCAAGACAGGCAACTGCTCTTAGAGATGCAATCCACATGTGTTAACTAGCACCAGTCTGGATGACCAACTCATTCTGGTTTAACTGGGACTGTCTTGGTTTTAAAACTGAAAGTCCTGCGTGCCAGGATCCTTCTCAGTCCTGGGCACACTGAGATGGTTGACCACATTGCACCCAAGTAAGGCTGTGGGCGGGGTAAGTCACAGGAGGTCAGGGCAGGAAACAAGGATGCTAGGCTGGTGCATCTTTGCTGTCATTTTTAACAAGAGCAAGCTGCCCATTCTGCAGCTGAAAGGACTTGTCTTTGTGTTCATTTCTCCTCCCCACTCAGGTCCTTACCTACCACCTCAAGTTGGCAAGCAGGTTTGAGAACAAGGCCTTTTCTGAGAAAAGTTAATTTTAATTTTTTTTTTTTTTAAGAATGGAGATGGGACTAGACATAGTGGCTCACACCTATGTAATCCCAGCACTTTGGGAAGCCAAGGCAAGAGGATTGCCTGAGCCCAGGAGTTTGAGACCAACTTGGGCAACATGGTGAGACCTCATTTCTACAATAAATAAAAAAACTATCCACGTGTGGTAGCACGTGCCTGAGGTCTCAGCTACTTGGAAGGCTGAGGTGGAAGGATCACCTGAACCCAGCAGGTCAAGGCTGTAGTAGTCATGAGTATGCCACTGCACTCCAACCTGGGAGACAGAGTAAGACTCCAACTCAAAAAAAAAAGAGATGGGGTCTCACTATGTTGCTTAGGTTGGTCTCCAATTCCTGGCCTCAAGTGATCCTCTTGCCCCAGTTTCCCAAAGTGCTAGGATAACAGGTATGAGCCACCACGCCGGCCTTCTGAGCAAGTTTTGAGATCCTTCTGGAGATATCTAGGATTCCTGATCAGCCCACACCTCACAGCTAAAACTGTGACCTGGAGGACACAGGAAACCCATGGTAGATTAGAGAGCCAAGAAGAGACAGTTCTTTTGCAGCTTTGGGAGAGGGAGTTCCTCACGTCAACTCTTCTGCTCCTGACTGTGAACAATAAAGTTGAGCAGCCCAACTGCTCACTTTCTCTGAAATTCTAAGACAAATAGAAGACAAAATAACAGATGGTTTTCTCCCTGCCAATAGCCGCCGTTTTCAAAGGTTTTCTACAGTGCTCTGCTTGTTCCTCCTGAACATCCCCCAGCAGTCAGAAGGCTACTGAGATCCTAGACACAGAGTTCCATCTTATGAAAACCCTTGGCAGCCAAGGGGGGCTTCCCAGGGACCCTAAGTCTTATGTCTGCTGCAAGCTGAAACACTGGCATGAGTGGCAAGGTGCTAAGATGCAGGAAAGCAAACACAGTGTGTGGCTCAGGGAGGGAACTCCCCCTGGTTGGCACAAGTTCAGTCTTACTTTGTCTGCTTAATTGGTACCCAGTTCCAGGAAGAAGAGCACTCTTGGGGAGGAGCAGGGGCAGGCAGAGGTGTGCAGTGTGGCTGGGAGGCAGAGGCTTAGATCTGGGAATTGTCTTCATTCTTCTTGTAGAAATTTGCCTCCTGATCTGACCCAGTTCATAAAGTCATCGTGGGGGGCTAAGAGCAGTGAGTGTTGGGCGACCTTTCTGACACTCTGCAGGTGTCAGTCTAGAGAGACTTTCCTGGGCTCTAGATTTATTGGGTGTGCCCCATGCAGCAGACATGGCAACGCTTCCAGGGTTAGAGGTGACAAGGCAAAAGAGGTGCACTAGGATTTTGTCTCCTCCCCACCTACTCTCCTCCTCTTGGCTGCTTGAAAAGTGAATGTGGCTCACGTTGAATGCCCAGCAAGTAGCAGGTACTCAGGAAATGTTTGTTGAATGGACTAGAAAATGGAGGCATCATCTGTACCTGTTTGCATGAGTAGTGTTTCTAAATACATGTTTATAGTTTTGATAAACACAACATTTGAGCAGTGCTTATAAACAAAACCTTTGAGAGTGACTTAGGGTTATTTAATAAGAGTGAACATCTCTGAGGCAGCATTTTGTGGCACAGTGCTGAGCCAGCACTCGGAAGTCCTGAGTTCAAATTCAAATTCTACATCTTCTCAGGCCCTCCATCTAACAATCATTATGTCTATCAACCCAAGACCTTTGTTTCCCTATTTGCAAATTAAGATTAATGGGTTCAACCTCCAAGTCTTGTTTGAGTTAGCTGAAATGGCACCCATACAACAGTGATAAAAGAAAAGACATTAAATGATAAGAGATTGTAATCGTCTACTCCCAATCATCTAAGAGGGCCAGCCCAATTTCTGGACTTTTTTCGATGCAGAATTAAAGAAGCCTAAGGGTTTTGATTCAGAAAGGGCTGAGATTTATTCAGAGGAAAGCAGAAATAGATATAAGTAGAAGGAAATGGTGGAAAAATAAGAAAAACCTGGCAGGCTTAGATTTTCAGAGAGAGGTCTTTTCAGTCTGAGTTGAGAATGAGTCATGGACATGAGTCATATCCAATGAGGTTTGACAGCAGAGGTATAGGAGAGTCCAGTGGAGGCCAGTGGATTAGGAGAAAGAAGTCATTAAGAAGTGATGTGTGTAAGAGCTAAAATTATAAAATCTTAGAAGAAAACATAGGAGGAAATCTAGATATGACACCAAAGGAACAAGCAATGAAAGAAAAAAATAGACAAATTTGGCTTCATCAAGATTAAAAACTTTTGTTCTGCAAATGATACCAACAATGAAGTGAAAAGACAGCCCACAGAATGGAAGAAGATATTTACAAGTCATTTGCCTGAGGAGAGATTTGTATCCTAAACATATAAAAAAATTTATAATTTAACAAAAAGATAACTCAATTTAAAAGCTAGCAAAAGACATGAATAGACA